GAGAGAGAGAGAGAGAGATTGGTTATTTTTACAATAAAAATGAAGGGAATCTGAGTTATATGAAGTATTTCTATGTGGGAAGGAGGAAATAGTAAGACAGTTAAACCAAAAAGCAAGCATGAATGGAGGTATTCAAGAGCACTACGTGTTCCAAATCATGAGCCCTGTTGGTCTGGCCCAAGGATTAGGACTCGTCCATGTCTAGCTCCTGGAAAAGGGCCAGTATTTGGTTAGTGGCAACTACTGTGATTATTACTCTTAAGTTATTGGAAAGAGATGATGACATCTATTTCACTAAAATTAACAATTACCAAACAGCTATGCTCCTGAAACTGGGCATAATAATCTACGTAATGATCCTAACTTAACCCTCAGATCAAGTCTAGAGTTGTGGGATAAAACACATCAAGAGAAGCTGTGGGCTGGAGCTGAAGGGCGAGAAGAGAAGGATCTGGGAGTCATCTGGGGGAAGGGAACAGACAGCTCTTCAGAGGAGAAGGTACTGAAAGCAAGTTGAGGGCGGGAGTTGAGACTGCATGCCTCCAGCATTCACTGTACTGCCTTGTGAGTACCTGCTTAGCTGTTTTTTTGCCCTACATAGATCCTAGAACACCAAGGTGACAAAGCCTAATGCAAACACTAAGAAGACAAACACTGAGGCCCTATACCCTCTCTAACCCATTTCTAGGTCAGCTTGGAGCCAAAGGTCCAGGCAGTCATGCATTTACAGGTCATTCTTTGTGTGTAGGGGAAGGGGGTGGCTGAGAACTCTAGGATCCATTCTGATTGTCACAGACACTGCCTGGGAGGTACCAAGTCAAACTGCCTATCCAACTCCTGAAGGGGACCGCAAATACAATAGAACTATTACCTGTGTGATACTGCCTGAGCTTCTAGTCCTGAGGGTACAAGCCCTACAGAGCCCACACCAGGCTCTCACTGGGGTCCTCTTCCCCACAACCACAGGGCTGGGAGCAGCCACTCAGGTGAGAATGGAGGCAGGCCCTGCCCTGAGGCCCCTTTGCAGAATTACTGTAAGATTCCTGTTACTACTAATGAAAGATTCATCATTTAAATTTCACCTAAGTAGTTCTCACTCTCAACAAAAGTTCCCCTCACATGCTACTTGCATCTCTCACCAGTTCATTTGATGGACAACTATGTGTCAAGCATATCTGGTGGTTTTTCTTTGTGCTAGTAAGAGAAGAGCAGCAAACAGACATTTGGTAAGTGGTACACATCTGTCAACTGGCACCAGCTGCCAAAGGCTGTGAGGTGTGTCTTTAAACAACTCCACTCTTGCCACTTCCAGGCCAAATGAGGACCTGCCTACTGCCTTCCTACCTTGCTCTTTCCCCACCAAAGCAACAGCCCAGACACAGCTGCCATGTTCTCTCTCAGCCTCTGACATCTGAATTCAAGACCAGAGACAAGCTCATTAATCTCTCAGGGTTCCCTCTCCTTTTTGGACAGAAAGGTCCATGAGCCCAGCTCTGAAGCATCTCTTCATTTGCAGTCCCTCCACTGGGCTGCAGGCTCTGCTTTCCACCCCTGGTTTGTCTAAGTAGCACTTTCCTCTGAAAATCCTTCTGTGGGCCTCTTGTCTGTGCCCACTACTAGACCTAATCAGGTGTACTGGCTCCAAACAAGTTTTTTTATTGCATATGGATGCCAACAGACTCCATGGGGCCAGCAAGACTTTACTTTTTGGTGAGGTCTTAATGGCTGAAGAAATACTAACTAGGTCAATCCTGGTTCATAACCAGGGGCAATTTTAACCCCGCCCCCCACCCCTACCCCAAGGGACATCTTGCAATGCCCAGAGACATTTTGAGATATCATACCAGGGGATGGGTGCTACTGGTATTTAGTGAGGACCCATCCTGTGAGGCACAGGGCAGCCCCTCTAAAGAGTGAGCTTGCTCAGTGCCAACAGGACTGCCTTGAAGGGGGGAAGCACTGCTCACTGATGTCATGGAACAGTACAAGGCTGCTCCAATCCAGCATACTGGTCACTAATCAGATTATGAGGTGACTAGGGACAGACATGCACACAGGCAATATGTCACCACCATAATAAGCAAGGCTTGCTGGTCTCAAAGTCTATTAGGATCGACCTTTAAGTGAGGAGAAGGCACAGCTCTACCCCAGATCCACATGTGAACTCCCAGCTGCCTGGGTGGTAAAGTAGTACAGCCATGCACTGCCCTGTTGTCATGCCTCACACAGCCCTGTTCAACACACTTCTTGACAGCTATCACCTCCAAAACACTTTTCTGTGCAAATCCTTAGCTGTGATCTACTATTTCTGTAGAGCCTTGAAGTGATAAATGCTAGGGCAGCAAGCCAAAGGTTACACGAGGGAAGAGTAGACAGCTCTCAGTGCCATACCACATCTCCCTCCAACAGTTCCTGCAGAGGCCTCTGCAGCACCTCTCGCCTGTGTGCAGGTGTACTACTACAGCCTTCTCCGTCCATCCCTCTGGGAGGCCAGTAAAGAGAAAGGGGAGGAGGATGACAGAGATGACTCCAGTGACCCAAACAGCCAGGGAGAAGTGACAAGCAACCCATGCTCAGCTCTCCTCTCCTGCAGAGCAGAGGGAAGCAAGCCCTGGACACTAATATTGACAGAGGGCACAGCTCTTCTAAGGGAAGACAGAGCAAGATGCTAAAATCAGAACAAAATCAGGAGATGCTGAGGGCTTGCTCAGCACATCCTGTTTCCTGTGCTCTAGGAATGACCCTTAGGCTGCAACAGAAGACCTAGCATCTGGTGTCCTTACAGGCACCCAGTGTCCTCCCCAGGTGATACCACTGGCCATTGCTTACCTTCCAGTTGGTTCTTAGCATGTGTTCCTTGGCACGGCACTCTTGGAGGATGAGTTTCCAGGATGAATAGTCAGAGATGCTGCTCTCAGGAAGGTATCCTTCCTGCTGGCACAGCCTGTACCACAGCACCTCGTCTTCGGCAATCACCTTCCATGTCTTGCTCACCTAACACAGCACAAGTGACACAAATGTCAAGATCTGCAATTAGAGAGGCCTCACCATCCAAAAATCAATCAACACCTATGTTATGCCCTAGGATTATGGCAGAATAAAACATCTCATTAACAAAACACTCTGAGGTGAAAAAAATATAAGCAAATGTTTCCAGTTTTATCTTTCAAGATTTCAAAAATGTTGTGCCACCATGCAATGTCACATTTTAGATTGCCTGGTTCAACTAGGATCTAACAAATGGAAAGAGGAAAAAAAACAATACACAAAATGCAAAGCCTATAAGCTCTGACATGGTGATTAACTACATGAGCATAGAGAGCTTTTCAGAAGAGAAATCTCCTGACAGCACTTGCATTACCATCTTACAGAAAGGGAATTTGGTGGCTGGTGAAGTGAAAGGTCACAATAAAACACTCATACATTAAATTTTTGATTATATAAAGTTCAGATTTATGTTACATGTGAGAACTTAGATTTTAAATGTATAGATTTAAAATAAAAATACAATTGAACTGTTAACCAGAACCATACAATATGAAGGAGAAATTAATGTTACATGTGGCACAAATCTAAAATTGCAACAGTATCCAGAGGAAATGGCTGTTTTAAATATTAGCATGCTGGGGCTGGAGAAATGGCTCAGTGGCACTTAAGAGCACTGGCTGTTCTTGCAGAAGACCTGGGTTCGAATCCCAGCACCCACATGGCAGCTAACAACTGTCTGTAACTCCAGTTCTAGGGGATCCAGAGCCTCTTCTGTCCTCCTTAGGCATTGCACAACATGGGTGCACTTATCTACATGCAGGCAATACATACATACACATAAAATAAAAATAAAGAAAATATTTTAAAGAATAAAATAAACAAATAAATATTTGCATGCTGTTTTCTAGGCACTCTCTCTTAGGGGAACGACAGACTTACTTCATCATGAGATAACATACAAAGTTGGCCAGAGTGCAGAACATGGACTCTGTTGGCCAGATGAGAAACTGACCTAGCAGATCAACCTAACTGGCCTGGAGCACCTGCTGGCCCAGCAGGATGGAGGAGCTGTGCTTGCTGCCCCCCCTAAGGCAGAAGTCCACTCCCAACACACAGAGAGAGCAGTGGCTTAAAAGAACCTTGGCTCCTTAACACTCCCTTGGGATCACACAAGACCTTGGAGGAAGAGGTAAGAGAGAACCTGACTGAGGGGGTCAGCTGATAAAAGGCCTGATGGAGAGTGAGCCTGTGGAATGAAGGAGTAAAGACCTCTCAAGGTCTGCTCCTCCATAACACCAACAAGAGCAATGTCAAAAGTGATGTGAGGCTGGGACTGCAGCTCAGTGGTAGAGCACTTGTCTAGAAGGCATGAAGTCCTAGGTTCAGTACCTAGTCCTGCCAGAGACAGAAAGGAAAATGGGCTGAGAGGGCTCAGTGAGTAAAGGGTTTGCTGCATACTGTGAGGACCAGAGTTTAGATCTTCAGAACCCATGGAAAGTCAGATACAGTAACATATCTGTAATCCCAGAACACCTATAGCAAGAAGGGAGGCAGAGACAGGAGAATCCTGGGAGCTTGAAGGCCAACTAGCCTGGTGTATATACTGAACACCAAGCGACCCCATCTCTAGGCAGGTGAGATGGTTCAGTGGGTACAGTGCTAGCTGCACAAGCCTGACAAACTCGAGTTCCAACCCCAGAACCCACATAAAGGTAAAAGGAGAGAACCAACTCCACAAAGTTCTCCCCTGACCTCCACAGGTATGCTGTGGTACACATGTATACACACAGACACACACACACACATATACACAGACACACACATACACACTGATTAAATTTCTAAAAAGAGAAAGACCTTGCCTCCAACAAGGTAGAAGGTAAGCACCAACACCCAAGGTTGTCCCCTGACCTCCACATGTGAGCTGTAGCACTCACACGCAAACATATCTTTTGATTGACTTTTTCAGGACCCTGAAAAGTAACAATGAAAGACTTGAACCCCTCTAAGGATCAGCCAGGGCTACACAGTGAGACCCTATCTTTAAAATACAATAAAATGGGGACTGGAGAGATGGCTCAGTGGTTAAGAGCACTGGCTGCTCTTGCAGAGGACCCAGGTTTGACTCCCAGCACCCACGTGGTAGCTAACTGTTCATAACTCCAGTTCCAGGCATCCAACGCCATCTTCTGACCTCCGTGGGCTTTGCACAACATAGGTGCACGAATATACATGCAGGCAATATACTCATAATGTGTAAAAAAAAAAAATTAAATAAACAAAATAAAATGGCTAAAAGTTGGTAAGAACTGTGACCTGTAAGTTCATTTAACTTGTTTGTCCCATTTCCTCCTCCAGCTCTATGGGAGCCCTGAAAACAGCTTCAGACTACAGTAGCTATGAAAATCAGCAACAGAGCTACCTTGGAAGGGCCAGTCACATTGGACTCCCCCAGGGTCTCATTCTGGGATAGCAGCCAGCACCTGGGCCTGGTTGGAGAGCTCTATCCCCAGGCTTCCAAATGGGGCTGGGAAGATAGTTCAACTAATAAAGTGCTTGCCATGCAAACAAGAGTACCTGAGAATCCACATAAAAAAACTGGGCATGGTGGTGTACATACCTAGCACTAGGGAGGCAGATGGAGCCCCTGGGGCTCCCTAGTCAGCCAGCCTAGTCTAATCAGTGAGCTTCATGTCAATGAGACCATGTCTCAAAAAAACAAGAAAAACAAGGTGAACAGCACCTGAAAAATGGCACCCAAGGCTGGCCTCTGGTCTCCATATGCATATGTGTGCACACGTGTACCACCTCCCCCCTGCCCCCGTTCCAACTTCTCATTTGCATAGTATTGTTTTTTCTACATCTAAACCTTTAATTTTCTAAATTTCTTGTCCATATTAAATGCTACTTAGTTGCCAGCCATCCCCATCCCCTCAGGTGACTAAATGTCACTTCTGTCTTCTACTGCATTAGCTATTTCTTACATCCCTAAGTCAGTAGAAAATATGGTCTGTGGGTCTTCATGTCTTATTTAAAAAAGAATTAAAACAACAACAACAACAACAACAACAACAAGAAGCAAACCAAGATGGGGCTGAGGACAAACCACTAGAGGCCAGCCCACAGCTGACAAGGATCCATTATGCAGCCCACATTGATACAGCCACAGTATCAGTCACAAATCCACTTAACCACACTGTCAGGCTGCACTCCCACCTCAGCCATAGGGTACAGGAAACAGGTCCTTATCTGAACACAAGTGGTCAGATTGTAAAGAACAGGATAACGACTCAATAACACCAAGGCCCCAGTTTTCACTAGACAGAACACCGTGGGTTTATTTTTGGCTTGTTTGGTCCACAGCTGAGCCTACCCATGACCCCCCGAGTAGTATCTTCATCTGTCTTTGCCAGAGTGAGGCTGAGCACAAGGCAATCATGAGGTAGGAAGAGGGAAGCAGCAACATCTGCCATGATGGAGCCAGCCACTACTCAGTCCCAGAGCAGAGGATGTCCCCTACTGGACAGCTGGAACTGAGGCTTAAAAACAGCTAAGACAAGGAATAACAAAGGAATATTCTTGGGTTCTCCAAGGCAGAAAGGGCTAACTAAACACAGGGTTTGAACTTTGACCCTTTGGGTTCATGAGCCTTTTTCTAAGAAGAAAAAAAATAAGCTCTAAAGCTTTTAAAAATAATGAAACGTAATTACTGAACAAGACTCAGAGTAGGTCAGAGAGCTTACAAACACAGCCATCACGCTGCTACACAGACCAGCACTACACAAAACATGTTTAAAGGACCACTGGCTCCTTAGAGGGCTGGGGAGTTTCTAAAAGGAATCCCAAAGTCAAATGAGTTTAGAAAACGCTGGTTTGAACAAAACTAAGCAGGCTCTTTGGCTGTGGGGCTCCTCAAAACCTCTAACAGCCTGGCACATGTCACTTACCTCAAAGAGGAAGGCATGAGAAGCTAGATTTCCTGGTCATCAAGCATGGCTGTCTCACAGCCCAGGGCTCTGTAGGTCATCAGGTCAGAGAGGAATGGGGTCCTGAGGCAGCAGCCCTCATTCATCTTCTGCTTCCAAACCTGTCCAAAACCCTGCTTTCTGCAAAAAAATGTACCAACCTGGGGGGCTGCTTCCCTGTGGCCAGGGAAAAGATGGGGAGGTTTGGGTGCCTGCTGTTAGTCAGGATGGATCACAAGACCAGACCAAGGAAGGATCTTTTAAAATCTCTAATCAAACATAAGTGACTAGGACACTGCCCCTCTTCAGACAGAACTTCAGAGCTACCGGCATCCAGTGCTCAGAGATTGCAAAGGGAGACCCCAGTCACTCAACAACCTACACCAGTTGTGCTAAGAACTAAACCAGTGACGTTTCAGCCACTTGAAAATGGAGGCATTTAGTAGAACTTCAGAAAGTCTCACCCCTCAGAACCTGAAGGGTGTGAAAGACACGAGCAGATTTTTACAACCGTCTCTAAGAAAAATGCCACACTAACAGTAGTCCGAAGTCTACACCTGGCAGTGACGCAGAAGCTGAAAACACAAGTTGTTTTGTACATTGTCCACACCATCCAAATCTCAATTTATTCCACAAAAATTAATATCCAGGATAAAGTTTAAGTCCCAATTAAAATACAAATCTCTTGCAGGGGTTTGTAAAAGGGAGAGGTAAGAATTACTTCTGAAAGGAATCACAATGCTACCTTCGATTAGGTATCAAAAACAGACATGAGCCAACAATTTCTTTAGCCAACTGTTAAAGGGAAGGTGCTGCTTCTTTTAAAGGAGAAGAAAAAGAGTAGCCTTTAAGAATTTTTTTTAATTCAAGGGGAAAAAAAGGACCCAGTCAAACCTTCACAAGCAACTGTGAAAGGGTCATGCCAAAAGAAAACCTAAGTGTTTTGATTTCTTGCTATAGTAAACCTAGCAAGTTTATAAGGCTGAATTTTCCAAAGGTCTAATGGTCTTTAATACCCCAGAACTGGAACAGCTCTGCTCA